TTTTTTCTTCCTTCTTATCCTCTTTTCGCTGTAGATTCATTCATACCTTAAGGATCAAACGATGAATTGTAATTGTAGTAAAGACTACGAGAATGAAAAATGCAGGTATTATAGACGTACGATGTAGCAAAATTATCATCATTCTGATTAAATGATACTTTAGTGCTATGGAGTATTATTTATTGTTGGTTGCATCAGTAAGAAGATATAAAATGATTCACACACCTAATTTTTTAACAATTTGGTAATAACTGTCCATGATAATAAAAAGACAAAAATATGTAGAACCGTTATTAATATTAGGAGCAGAAGTTCTTGACATAGTTCTTAGACAATGTTAATTAGAATCAAGATGAATGGTTAAAACACATTGCCAAACCTTTTGTACACAACAATAACAAAGGTAATAATATTATTATAAACTTTATTATGTGCCCACTTGGTTGCTAAATGGATATTTTTATGATTTGTTATTTTTCTGCCTACTATTGTAAAAGTCTGTAGTTAATTCACAATTTTATGTTCGGCAAAATTGCGTTTTTTGAGTAATTTTAGTTTGGTATCAATTTTTTGTAAGAACAACAACAAAATTAAGAAGTAAAAGTAACTCATCTATCTATTAAATACTAAAAATTAATTTGACAAAATTTGAAATGAAAAAAAAATTTTTTTAATTTCATTGTTAACTCAATTAACGTCCCTAGGCAATCGAAATCTGAAGCACTTTGAGTGATGGAAAGTGCCGAGAAATGATACATTTTACCTGCCCTTTAATTGAATTTTTGTCTATATTCTATTTTATGTGGATAGTACTATTCAAAGTATTACATTTATCGTATTTACTTGTCTTCTATTCTTAATTTTATATATACACGTGTGACTTTGCAAGCACGGATGTTGAACATAAAATTTTTGGGGTTGAAATTAGTCTGTCTCTGTTATTTCTTATTCCGCCAACTCAAATCACATTGTATCGGTGGCGGCGAATTTCTCTCAGAAAAAATTCTGTTTTAAAATGAGTAAACAATCCCTTTAAATAAAAACTGAACACTTAAACAAATTAGATTAATATTGTTGAAAACCTACAGATTAATACATCAGAATAAAAGAAGAGGTATCATTGAAGAATCCATAAATAAGTACCTACTTTATTAATTATTTTGAGGAGAATTATTTATATCGAGTTTGTGTACATCCCTTACTACGTGTGTACAAATTTTCATGATAATCGGTTGAATATTTAAGGCGTGAAATCGTAACAGACAAACACACAAACTACAACTTACATTCTTACAAGTATAGTCAGTGCAGCTTTAGAATATTCTTTTCGAGGGAAAAATGGGTTAACTCAATTCTTTTTCATTAAATTTCCACATTAAATTTGAGTTTAATGTAGAAACAGAATCTTTTGTATGCCTGGTTTTAATGTTTGAATCATGACTGTTCACAAATGAATTGAATTTATTACCTATTCAATGCAAGTCTAACATCTAAAATGGCGTAAGGAAGTTTATTTGGGTCTTTACTGCTGCTGTAATAATCAATTACATATTTTACATCTTTGCCACAGCGATCAACAATCCAATCATGTCTATCAAATGGAAGATCACTTCCCAGTAACCAATTTATCATGGCTTTTGGACTGTAATCAGTAGACTTTCCACCAAAACTCTTTAATCTTAAATTTGTTAGTTAATAATTTATTATTTTAATAAATATTAAATCAATTACTTTGGATTGTAACATTCTTTGCCATGTAAAGCTCTCTCCCATGTAAGAATTTCTTGCCATGCTCTTTCATTGTTCATATTGTGGATTTTGATAATACTTTCCATATCTGCTGGTTTTAGATCATCTTGCTTCCATCTCCAACCCTTTCGTAACATTGCATTCCAGAACATCTATGACAGTAAAATCAAAAGAATTAGTAAGCAATGAAAAGTGTTACAAACATCATACTTGTGCACTTGGATATTCCCAATATGGAGTTTCACCTTTTTTTACTATTGCTTTTGGGATTGATGAAAGTTGCCTTTCTGTAGAGAGAGGAAACGGTTGCCCAGGAGAACGATTTTGATTTCCATTAGGCATCTACATAGATTTGGATTAATAATAAAATATATATATTACGCTTTAATGAATAATATTTACCTACCATGTTGAGAGGATTAATTTCTCCTCCTCCATGTTGCACAGGGCATTCTGAAACATTACTAGCTTTGTGCATTGGACATTCACTAGGAATTGCTTTCTGTTGTTTTGTGTTTGATGTTAATAGATCAACACTTACATTTTCACTACTATAAGAGATATTTCTTTCTTTTTGTTTTGCAGTTGTTGATATATCAATAGCTGTAGTTTCAGCAATAGACAGGATGGTTCCCATTTTTAAAAATTGTAGTTACCAAATGGCCTAACATTTAGAAAGTAGGAACTACCTTAAAAATGAGCAAGAAATTGCTGGAGAAAGGATAAAGGTACATAAAAACAACTTCCCCTGGCCCCGGCCATTTTTATTGCTCCACTATGACGTAGTGGCGGCCATCATTCTTTTCTAATTGTTGCAGTTGTCGGCCATCATTCTTTTTCAATTGTTGTCGCATTGTCACTGATGTCGGCCATTATGTTTTTTTTAATAGATATATAGTAATCAATGATTAAAATTTAAAGGAATTGTTTGTAAATAGGTATGCAACACATCGTACACTTCAACATTTACGTAATACTACTTTGCCCTGTACTGACAGCACTCATAATTTCTTTTATTTATAATATTAATTCTTTTTTGATAATCATCTAAATTCGTTTATCCTTTGTAGAAAAATAATATCGTAATTAAATAATGTTTTTTTAGATTGAAGACCCAATGGTAGAACAACGGACAAAAGGTTGTGGGGGACATGTGTTAGTATCCGCAGATTTCACTGGTTGTATAAAAATTTTTATCAACAAAACAAAACCTAAACATAGTTCTTTACCAGCTTCAGCTCTGGCTTAAGCAGCTTTTAGTTACATAAATTCTAACTAAATTAAGTAGCANAATAAACTGAAGGCCTATTATTCAGATATATTTGCATATACAACTTTCCTGCCAATCTTGATTTCAAATTCTGATTATTTTGTCTCAGTTGTTATGTATTTTAGAAGCAGTTCTAATTTAATGATCATAAAACAGTGACACATGTATTACAAGTAGCGTAGCCCCAGGGAGGTCTAGAGAGTTCAACCCGCCCTCCTCCAATAGCTATGAATTCTTTTTTAATTACGTTGCAGTTTGAGGAGTGCAAGAAATTGCAAATTGGCAAACTTCCATGGAATTAGTACTGTTTTGAAGATTAGCTCGTACAAATAAATTTGATATTTTATTTAATATTTCATTTAATTTAAGTAATATTTAAGTCTTTGTGATATTTTGACGCCTCCATATATCTTTTGTCACCCAAACTGTAGAACATGGATTAAAATCTGAACTTCTGATGAGATTTTTATTCTTTTGAATACGTAAACCTTCCCAAGCGTTGAGTTCTGATTTGCAACAGATTTCTTTGACTAATATTAAACGTTTAGGGCTTCTAGGGCGGTTAGCTTTAATCTGAAGTGAACAATATGTTCTTTATGTCTTGTATAGATAGACCGTATTCGTTGCTCAACATATTAAAGTCCACAAACTTCACAATTTCGTAAATTCCTGACTTCTAATTTACCTTTGGTGTTCTCTAAGGGCTTTTTAAAATTATTATCAATTTTAAAAATTCTAGTGCAATCTTAAATCTTGTTCCCACTTTTACATAATTCTAAAAATAAAGAAAAACCAAACGGAAGTTTCAAAACCGGTACGAATTACGACCCACAAAGTGGTACGATTAGAGAGCTCTATGACAAGTTTAAACTTGTGGAATTCCATATTAATATTCGAACTTTTTATTAATACGTATCTATTGTACCATAGGAGCCAATATGGGGTTGCAAATAACTTTATTGATGTAAAATCATCATCAAACCCCATTTTGTTTCCGAGTTTTTACACATTGTAATAAGAGAAAGAAATGGAATTCATAGTTTTTTTAGATTTGTGCACATCTAACAAGTGATGTTTTTCGAATCGTTTTCCAACAATTTTGGATTATACGCATTTATTAGCACACCACAATAGCTCGTAGTTTTCAGTTATCAATTCGATATTGTTTTGGGGGCCGTTTTGTCGTAATTCATAGAATTTCGTAGTTTATTGCTAAAGGTACGATAAGTGATCATTTGGCAGGTGCTGATATCAATTTNCTATTAAATACTAAAAATTAATTTGACAAAATTTGAAATGAAAAAAAAATTTTTTTAATTTCATTGTTAACTCAATTAACGTCCCTAGGCAATCGAAATCTGAAGCACTTTGAGTGATGGAAAGTGCCGAGAAATGATACATTTTACCTGCCCTTTAATTGAATTTTTGTCTATATTCTATTTTATGTGGATAGTACTATTCAAAGTATTACATTTATCGTATTTACTTGTCTTCTATTCTTAATTTTATATATACACGTGTGACTTTGCAAGCACGGATGTTGAACATAAAATTTTTGGGGTTGAAATTAGTCTGTCTCTGTTATTTCTTATTCCGCCAACTCAAATCACATTGTATCGGTGGCGGCGAATTTCTCTCAGAAAAAATTCTGTTTTAAAATGAGTAAACAATCCCTTTAAATAAAAATTGAACACTTAAACAAATTAGATTAATATTGTTGAAAACCTACAGATTAATACATCAGAATAAAGGAAGAGGTATCATTGAAGAATCCATAAATAAGTACTTACTTTATTAATTATTTTGAAGAGAATTATTTATATCGAGTTTGTGTACATCCCTTACTATGTGTGTACAAATTTTCATGATAATCGGTTGAATATTTAAGGCGTGAAATCGTAACAGACAAACACACAAACTACAACTTACATTCTTACAAGTATAGTCAGTGCAGCTTTAGAATATTCTTTTCGAGGGAAAAATGGGTTAACTCAATTCTTTTTCATTAAATTTCCACATTAAATTTGAGTTTAATGTAGAAACAGAATCTTTTGTATGCCTGGTTTTAATGTTTGAATCATGACTGTTCACAAATGAATTGAATTTATTACCTATTCAATGCAAGTCTAACATCTAAAATGGCGTAAGGAAGTTTATTTGGGTCTTTACTGCTGCTGTAATAATCAATTACATATTTTACATCTTTGCCACAGCGATCAACAATCCAATCATGTCTATCAAATGGAAGATCACTTCCCAGTAACCAATTTATCATGGCTTTTGGACTGTAATCAGTAGACTTTCCACCAAAACTCTTTAATCTTAAATTTGTTAGTTAATAATTTATTATTTTAATAAATATTAAATCAATTACTTTGGATTGTAACATTCTTTGCCATGTAAAGCTCTCTCCCATGTAAGAATTTCTTGCCATGCTCTTTCATTGTTCATATTGTGGATTTTGATAATACTTTCCATATCTGCTGGTTTTAGATCATCTTGCTTCCATCTCCAACCCTTTCGTAACATTGCATTCCAGAACATCTATGACAGTAAAATCAAAAGAATTAGTAAGCAATGAAAAGTGTTACAAACATCATACTTGTGCACTTGGATATTCCCAATATGGAGTTTCACCTTTTTTTACTATTGCTTTTGGGATTGATGAAAGTTGCCTTTCTGTAGAGAGAGGAAACGGTTGCCCAGGAGAACGATTTTGATTTCCATTAGGCATCTACATAGATTTGGATTAATAATAAAATATATATATTACGCTTTAATGAATAATATTTACCTACCATGTTGAGAGGATTAATTTCTCCTCCTCCATGTTGCACAGGGCATTCTGAAACATTACTAGCTTTGTGCATTGGACATTCACTAGGAATTGCTTTCTGTTGTTTTGTGTTTGATGTTAATAGATCAACACTTACATTTTCACTACTATAAGAGATATTTCTTTCTTTTTGTTTTGCAGTTGTTGATATATCAATAGCTGTAGTTTCAGCAATAGACAGGATGGTTCCCATTTTTAAAAATTGTAGTTACCAAATGGCCTAACATTTAGAAAGTAGGAACTACCTTAAAAATGAGCAAGAAATTGCTGGAGAAAGGATAAAGGTACATAAAAACAACTTCCCCTGGCCCCGGCCATTTTTATTGCTCCACTATGACGTAGTGGCGGCCATCATTCTTTTCTAATTGTTGCAGTTGTCGGCCATCATTCTTTTTCAATTGTTGTCGCATTGTCACTGATGTCGGCCATTATGTTTTTTTTAATAGATATATAGTAATCAATGATTAAAATTTAAAGGAATTGTTTGTAAATAGGTATGCAACACATCGTACACTTCAACATTTACGTAATACTACTTTGCCCTGTACTGACAGCACTCATAATTTCTTTTATTTATAATATTAATTCTTTTTTGATAATCATCTAAATTCGTTTATCCTTTGTAGAAAAATAATATCGTAATTAAATAATGTTTTTTTAGATTGAAGACCCAATGGTAGAACAACGGACAAAAGGTTGTGGGGGACATGTGTTAGTATCCGCAGATTTCACTGGTTGTATAAAAATTTTTATCAACAAAACAAAACCTAAACATAGTTCTTTACCAGCTTCAGCTCTGGCTTAAGCAGCTTTTAGTTACATAAATTCTAACTAAATTAAGTAGCANACATTCTTACAAGTATAGTCAGTGCAGCTTTAGAATATTCTTTTCGAGGGAAAAATGGGTTAACTCAATTCTTTTTCATTGAATTTCCACAATAAATTTGAGTTTAATGTAGAAACAGAATCTTTTGTATGCCTGGTTTTAATGTTTGAATCATGACTGTTCATGTACAACAAATAATATCTAGGTACTGAATATATGTGCAATAATAATCAATAAGCAGAAAAACGGACTTCAACACCTCATTTAAAGCTTTGTCCTTCATGGACTTAAATAAATTATCCAATAAGACGAGCTCATAAAGTTCACGGTGAATATTCTACGGTATATTACTAACATCCTTGAGTTATTCGTGCATGATACAACGCGAAATATTATTATCATGCTATATAAAGGCATTCACACGGGAATACAGACATTTTATTCCATATAGTTATATACCTACTACTTAAAAGTAGCGAGCGCATCTTCAATTGGCAAAAGAAAAATAACGGAAGGTGACCTTACTTGCAACATTACTTTCACTTATACGTACCTACATCGGCTTTTATGTCTTGTTATTATACTGTAAGTACTGTACAAGCAATTGAATAAATAATATACCCGGATAAATATTGTAGTTATAAGAGAACGCAGTTACATATTTTTTAAGAAATGCCAAAAATATAATGCTAATTGCTGACTGTAGCTGCTCGTTGGTAATACTTATTATATTATATGGAATACACAGCTATGACATACCCGTTTAAATGTAATTTTATCAAATTTAGAAGTTTTATTGCAAAATGCACTTTGTACACAAAATCCGAAGGCGGTCAAGATGTGTGAACTCAATCAACCTGATGGCAATTCGCAATAGTATTAAAATGAAAGGATTCGGTGAATAACTGCAAAATCTGACGTACGTGTACAACTAATATCCAGTGTATATGTACAATTGGACTCAGTACAATAATTGTTAGGATATTTTTTAACAATAAACACAAGAAATTCAGAGTAAAAAAAAATTTATATCATCATTCTCAGCAGAATCGATATTTCTCATTAATTAAGGTCAATTGATGTTTAAGGGCTATGCCATTAAGGATTCATCATATACAGCAGTTATATTGAAAAATATTATTTTATTTTTTTTAGACAATAGTATAAAGTATTAGTAGAAGACAGCAAGTTGAATAAATTCATTGTTCAGTTCAACATCGATTTATCATAATAAACCACTTTACACTATGAATAAAACAATTTATCCTGAATTACTTCTGATTTTATGGACAATAAGAAGAAATGAATTTCAGTTCTTGTATTACTGTGTACGTTAAAGCATAATTAATCATTTATTACCATTAGACTCTTGATAATAGAACTATGGTAAAAAATAAGGAACAAATTTGAATCGTTCTATTGGAGATTTTATGTTTATTTTCAAAAGTTGTCAGCACGAAACAAATTTTCTAAGTCTAAATGAAATTGACATCACAAGGTAGGAACATATGTTTTATATACCTACATATAGGTATAAAAATTGTAAAGATAAACATAAATTAAATACCTACGGCCTAAAAGTCATTAACTAACTTCACATGTAAGACAGAATTAATTTGATTTTTCAAATATTTTCTCCGTTCAAGAGTATTTTTATTAGGTAATTGTGCTAGAAATCGTCAAGATGAACTGCTGAATAGCGGGCTTAATGTTAAAAAATATTTGAAAACACACGTGACAGTCTAACAGCAGACGCACCTGCTTCTTATTTTGTTATGCAAGTTGAAAGAGAAAACTGTTCGAAACATAATAAATTACATCACTGTGAGACAAAACAAATTATGACCATGCTTACAAGATGGACGGGTAGAGTCAGTATGTACATGCGTTTTCGCACAACATCTTAGGATGCCATTATTCCTAGATTAATGATAAAAACAACATACGTAGCAACTGCTGTTAATATTTGTTGCAAATAACGATGACATTTAAAAATTATTGCAATGTTTGAGTTGACTTCTTACATCGGTTTTTCTGAATTGAATTGGATAATAGAGCATACACATTTTAAGGGAATTTATCCTGATATTTACCGTTAAAGAACGGGAACTAAAGATTAAAATACCAAAAATGTTTATTGCTTTATGTTTATATACACGAATAGAAATTATAGTGTTTTATAATTAAGGATTAAAGGGTTAGAACATTGTCCTTTTATGTAAAAGCATGTTGAACATTTAGCAAGATCCTTGGTAAATATTCGTGAACAAGTGAACACGGATTCACAGCGATAGAATTGCAAATTTAATCTTTAACAATGACCAAGACAATTGACGATCATCAATAATTGTTAACATTCATTAGCTTTGTGTGTCATAGTTGTCAAGTCTAATCTGCATAATACCAATCTGGTTACGTAAATGGAAACAAGGCAACTTTAAGAATTTTTCATTTAGCGGTTTCTTTTGCTTCAGGGTTATTACAGTAATTGATGAGTATGTAACAAGAAATTTCTACACGAAACTTGCTAGTATCTACTTAATGTGTGGGTAGGGAAAAGGACGTGCCAACAAACAAGGGTGATATAAATTGATACTTATTGTTAGTTTGCTTAACTGACTGTAACCTACTCATACCTACTCACGTTTAGAATTACATTTAAATAACGACAACGTAGTGATTGTTTTATTTTTCTTTATGAAAGTTCGACATTAGTAAAGCCTCAAAGTGTCTTTTATCGGAAATTCAGAAACTTAATTAGATTCTCATTATAATCAAAATATCTAACCTGAAAGTTGCGATGTTCTTGCTTAATCAGTCTTGGTTTTGCTTATTCAGTATTGGTCTTGGTATTGCTGATAGACCCTTGGTCTTGGTTTTGACCTTGCTGATACAGTCTCACTCTTGGTCTTGTTCATTTAATCTCATTCTCAGGATTTTTATTAATTCTAAGCACAAATTTTTCTATTTACCGATACAATAATTGTCTTAAATGCTAAAAATAGGTATCGAAGTTTTCCCAATAAGATGTATTCCATATTTGAATTTTTCGTTCATATAGATTCGCTGAAAGCATCTGTATTAGTCAGTTGCCTAGTTAGTGAGTATTTCGAACTATTGCACCAAAAACAATGCAATTTAATATGTATCACATATAGTAACTATAATCCCTTTATATTAATAATTGATACTATAACAAATAAGTTAGAAAATAAGCAAAATCAGTGTAGTTCAGCCTCTAGATGATATTTTATACAGATTATTAGACTGAACGTGTTGTTTCTGTTTGGTATCAGTTTTTTCTTTAAAGTCGCTGGTAACAATTTCATTCAAATAATCAAGCAGTTTAAATTCAGTTCTTATTGCTAAACTACACCACATCAGGTAATTATTAACTGAGTGTTAAGTAACAAACTGGTCACGATGAATTGGAGAGAAGCTAGCGTCGTGCTGTTAGATTGCGGAGATGTTCATCTTTAAATTATTTATAGTTTGCGGAATCTTGTCGTACTGTTTATGTTTACATACTTAGTTTTAATATACCTAGGGCTTCTCAAAGACTAGAAAAAATATTCCTGCGAACTCCATTAATGGCTTTCTGAAAAAAAATTTTTCGTTGCAAAACAACCTCAAGTATTTTGAAGAACGGTGATTTTCGCACTGGGATTATCTCGAAAACCAGAGCCATCAGAAAAATTCTGACCTAAGATTGAGTTCGTTAAAAACCTTCGAGCACAAACGTTCATAAGTGGTTCACACATCTCTGTACAATCGCGACGTCATTTATTCCCCGAAATAAACACATTTAAAGTTGATCGGCGACAAGGGAAGTTTAACTGACAAAATCGACTGTTCTTACATAATACGCGCGGAATATTATACATAAATTAATTTTTGTAATCTGCATATAAACTTCATAAACATTTAGGCTACCTAAGTTAATTTTGCACATCTCGTAATTTAATATTACCTTTGCCAATAAAGTACAGTAGCTACCTACTGACCTATAATGATTAGCTATAAATCCGATTTCAAGGCAGAAAAGGGTACTCCACTACATAGTACCACTTTTTATAAATATTTGTCTGAAACTTCGTGAGTGGTTTTATTTTCAGTCTGCGAAATATGGACCTCAAAACCGAAAGATACGTCAATTTAATAATGTATTAAAAACTTATACGAAAGTTAAAAAAAAGATCGACCTACGAAAATTTTGGGTCATGCGGCAAGGCGTCCGCGCCCTGAACATGTCCAGCTGATTTTCACCCAATTTGTTAATAAATGCTAGGTACAAAAATAGCTACTAAAAATAATAAATTGTATTCTTTGTATAGTGATTCTTTGCATTAACACACCATCCATCTTGAGTGT